CCTGCCAGTGCACAATCGTCAGTGCATCTTCTGCCACGCAGGGCAAGGCTCAGCATCGCGGGCAAAACCGGCCCCCTGGGCAGCCTGCCCTGCCCAGCAGCCAGGCTCCTAGGTAGCAACCAGACATACCCTTTGTCATGGCTCCTTCCCCACTCTGGAATGATAAATGCAGAAGTGGGGGCCAGCAGGTGTATCCCAAAGCCTTCAGTGCACAATCGTCAGTGCATCTTCTGCCACGCAGGGCAAGGCTCAGCATCGCGGGCAAAACCGGCCCCCTGGGCAGCCTGCCCTGCCCAGCAGCCAGGCTCCTAGGTAGCAACCAGACATACCCTTTGTCATGGCTCCTTCCCCACTCTGGAATGATAAATGCAGAAGTGGGGGCCAGCAGGTGTATCCCAAAGCCTTATCTACCAGGCTTTGGGATAAAACTTCCCCCAAAAGCTTAAAACCCTAGATCTTGGGAATAAAACTTCCGCTGCCACCGTCCAAATGTTAATAAAGAAATCAGGGGAAAGATCATTTGGGAAATCTCACCCCAGAATAAAAATCAGGGCACACAATTAACCAATGCCAGGTTAATAAAAAGAAAAGAAAGACCTTTTATTATTACAACAATATTCCTGTTGCAAGCATCATGACTAGATGGGAAGGTAAAAAAATATACTCATGGAGAAACTCCATGGACCTAGAACTTAGTTACAAAGAAAAGGCAAAACATCTTTTAAAACATGTACAGATCTCAGATCCCATAACCAAATCATAAAACAAGAAAACCTGACGGATTTATCTAAACTTTACCCTACTTACAGAAAGTGAAGAATTGTTTCTTGGAGAGAGAGAGAGAGAGAGAGAGAGAGACATTGTAGCTGCAGAGAACTCACCCAGAGAGACAAAAGGAGAAAGGAAAAAACCACAAATTCCTTTGTCCCAGTTTGAAAGTTTCACCTACATTCCTACTGGTCACTCCACCTGGCTAGGAGTAGTTAACCCCTTAATCCCCAGGCTGCTGGATAACCCCCAGAATCATGACACCCCTTAATACATGTTGACCATGCAGACTGGTAGCAAAGGCAGCAACCTGAAGCCAATGTGGGAAAGAAGCCACCCTGGGGACAGTTATGGCAAAGGCGCCCTAGGTAAGGTCAAAAAGGTCTGTTCCCCATTTCCTCCACTGCTCCGGGGGACAGATTCCAGAATTCCTCCTCCCCTAGCAGGTGTACAGTTACACCGTCCTCCCCCCTTCCCCCCCTGCTTTTGAGCAGACTGGCTGCCCGCCAGCACCCTTCCTTGGTCTCAGATCACTGCTGACTCACTCCACGAATTACCTCGGATGGGTTGGGTGGCAAGGCCCAAGCGGCGCAGGGGGCAAGAGAGAACATGCCAAAGCAACCAGTGGTTGGGCACCTTAGAGCCCAACAAATAGATGTACAGTAGATAGGATCAGGAACTTTCCTCTAGCTCCATAGTCTCAAAGGTGCCACAGGACTCCTGGTTGGGTTTTAAAGTTGCAGACTAAAACCGCGACTCCTCTGAGACTGTTTAACATGCCAAAGCAACGCAGCTATTTTTCCATCTTTCTACAGAGGTGGGCGCCTCATCTCAAAAAAGATCTCCTGGCACTGGAAAAGGTTCAGAAAAAGGCAACAGCAATGCTGAGGGGTTTGGAACAGGTCTCATATGAAGAGAGATTAAAAAGACTGGGCCTTTTCATCTTAGAAAAGAGGAGACTAAGGGGGGATATGCTAAAGGTCTATAAAATCATGAGTGGTGTGGAAAAAGTGAATAAGGAAAAATTATTAACTGGTTCCCACAACATAAGAACTAGGGGGTCACCAAATGAAATTAATAGGCAGCAGCTTAAAAACAAACCAAAGGAAGTTTTTCTTCACACGGCACACAGCCAACCTGTGGAACTCCTTGCCAGAGGATGTGGTGAAGACTAGGATTTGAACAGCGTTCAAAAAAGAGCTGGATAAATTCATGGAGGTTGGGTCCATCAGTGTCTGTTAGCCTGGCGGGATGGGACTGGTGTCCCTGGCCTCTGTTTGTCAGGCTGGGAATGGGCGACTGGGGAGGGATCACTGGCTGATTCCCTGTTCTGTTCACTCCCTCTGGGGCACCTGGCCTTGGCCACTGTCGGAGGACAGGTCGCTGGGCTGGACGGGCCTTGGGTCTGACCCCATCTGGCCAAGCCAGGGGTGGGAGAAGTGGGACTCGGGGTGCTACGGCTCCTTGCTCTTTAAAAGGAAAGTGCAACATTGTGCGTGCCCAGCATGTGCTCCTGCTGGGCCAAGCTTAGGAGCCCTGGCTGGGTCAGACCCTGCGTGGGGTAATGGTGACCCGCCAGGTTCTCCAGGCAGTTGTGGTAACCCCACAGCAGGCAGACGGGGGAGGGGGATATTCGGGTACTATGAAGTCTCTTCCCAGCCCCTCCTCATGGAGGCAGCTTCGTGGGGTAATGGTGACCCGCCAGGTTCTCCAGGCAGTTGTGGTAACCCCACAGCAGGCAGACGGGGGAGGGGGATATTCGGGTACTATGAAGTCTCTTCCCAGCCCCTCCTCATGGAGGCAGCTTTACATCCCAGAGCGGCGGGGAGGGGGGGGGGTTGTGTCTCTGAAAACGCCCCCGGCTCTGGCCACTCCCACCTCCGTGGCCCGGCGCTCTCTGGACTCCTTGATCTCCACGACCAGCTG